CAGGGGTTATTGTCACAGGCTCCACTGAAAATTTGATGAAATTTATGGAACCAATTCCCAGGGGAAAAAATACTTTCACACAATTTCACATGTCAGGGGGCATGATGACCTTGTTAGGTCTAACTGTAGACCCCAGTTGGAGATATATGATAAAAAATAGCAAGTAGGTTTTGTCACAAAGGGACCCTGTTCTTACCATTCCCACGAATCACTTCTGTGCTACAGTAAAATGACCTTGGCTTAACCTTGGAGTTTTGGTTTTCTTGAAGAACAAGTTGTCCAGTGGCTTAATAAGTACATCTTATGGGTGCTATACGTTAGCTGCCAAACTCTGTGACCTTGATCAAGTCCCTTACTGTCACAACCTAACTGTCATCATTTATCAAATGAAAGATATAGCATGCAACCCACAGCCTTTGAGAGATATGTAGCTCGTAAAAGCTGAGGATAAAGCTCCCTAATTTCTGGATGTCAGATTAGAATGTTGTCTGGGATATGCTCAAATAGTAACATTTTTGAGGTTAAACAGCAGTACCTACTTCTTCCGGGATAGTATTCTATTTGATAAAGTAGAAAACACATCATGTATCCCTTTCAAACAATTCAACATTCTTTTTTTATGAAAACAATAACTGAGGCTGGTTAACACTTCCTATTTTTTCTGAACCCCTATATCCCCCTCCAAGACCAAATGATCTTTATTAAGGGCTCATCCAATACTGCATTCTAGTCTCTGGCTCTTATCCTAAGACTCAGTTTCCTAGACCATTCTAGAGAGAACTGCTATGCCATTTCTCCTTAGTATAATTGAATCAGAGACACCTAAGTGACCAGCTCATGGGACTAGAGGGCTCTGCTGACCTTAGAATACCAAATGACCGAGAATAGTCTGAACGAAGCCAGATACAATTTTCAGTATATCTGTACTTCCTCTGAGGGACCTTGCCTGTGACCTTGAGTAGAACTTCAATGGGAAGTCTCATGCAAATAGCCTCTCCTTAATTTTTCTCACTTTGCAGGATTGGGATATTCATCTCCAAAGTCACCGGAATTATAAAAATGAGATTGGCCAAAGATGACTGGAAATTGGTAGAACAGACAGAAAGTTCAATGTTTTTGTGTAGTTTTCGCTTTGTGAGTTTGGGATATTAAGCTCACATTCCAGATCTAGTTATAATACCTGCTTCCACCTGGATTCCAACTCCCTCAAAGTGTTTTAGACTAGTGACTTGGCCAGGTGATACGGTATCCTCCAATTTTAAGATCACTTCCTTAATTTCATCACCAGGGTAAAGTCTCATCTAAAAACAGCTGTTGAAGCATTTGTTAACCATACTTTTCCATCTTAAATATTTATTTTTTCATTAAAATTTTCAAAGCACCAGTAGAAAGGAAATTGTGTATTAAATAGTTTCTCACTTGGTCTAGTGTGTTTTCATCTCATTTCCAAGGTCAGATGGTCTTAACAGAAAGACAACATACACACAATCTGTTCCATGACAAGGCAAAATGTGCAGTACAGGAAGTCAAGTGGAATGATTTTTACAAAGTGATTGTGAATTTGCAGCAGCCTAGCTCATCAGAAGCAGAAGTGAACTCCAAACTTTCCATACCATTGAAGATTAGCGGTTCCCTTGGTATTATCATGATCTAGTGCCCCAGAATATAACTTATGGGTATTATCATTATTATTATTACCAGGGTAAAGCCAATCCAATGATGCCGGGAGAGGGAACTGGAAAATGCAAAAATAGGAAGGATCCCTCTTTGTACCCATATTGGGATGCAGACTTCAGGAGACTTTGTGGCAAGATAATCTTATTGTGGGGATGGTAATTAAAAGATGCCCCAGTGGTATTTATTCCCCTTCATGGAGCTTCACATCTGCGTGGAACAGATAATCTCCCCAGAAAGAGCAGAATGAAGTGCTCACTATTGCCCTGGAAAAGCTGGTTAATCAATAAGTTTGGGGAGAATTTGGTAAAAACAAATGCGTGCATTTTGTACTTACTTGTCTAAAAATGGGGACTGCTTTGATATCCAGCCCTTTAGTGCATGTTAAGCAGAGCGGATATGACCCTGGTGGACTATCTTTCCCAAACTAAGTTTTGTTTATTTATCAAAACAACCTTTTCATAACGGGGGGTGGGGGGGAGGGACGTAGACAGGAGTAACGATAACAGTATTTGTCCAGAGTGAAAGGGAGAGACAGTGGAATTCTCTGCAGGGAGGTCAGGGCAGGTTTGTCATGGAAAAATTGAAGGCGGGAGGAGGTTCCAAACACCCACCATGTCTCCATATACTTTAGTGTGGATTCCTTCGAGAATGAAAAGGTTTGAGGTTCCCCCACCTGTGAAGAGAAAGCATATTTGCTTTTCAAGAAAAAAAAAATGGCATTACTAACACCTCAGACCATGAGCCTGTATCTCTCCCGGTACATGGATAACGACTACAATGGTCTCTGCTCACCATGTCAGCCAAGTGTTCCAAGAGAACGTTTCTATTCTCAGTGATGTTCTTTGCTGGGTTAGAAGCCCCCCGCTTCACATTTCAGATTGTATTATTTTGCCTACAACTTGCTTTTCTGAGTTAGTTAAGTCTCATAATTAATCAACGTGGATCATTTATAGTAATCCAAAGAAAATCAAGCAGAGTGAGACAGTCACATGAGGAGGAAAGTAAGCATGTGATACTGGATCTTATCTCAAGACCTAAAAATGAATTTGGAGCCCTGTCAATATTCCTGAATTCTTTTGCTCTGACATCTTTCTTTGTGTTTCTAGCACAGAATTCTGCAGATAGTTTTTTGCATTCAGCTTCAGGTTTATGCCACTTACTAGTAAATCCCTTCATGAAGCTAGCGGGAGAGCCAGCGTGGGTCCTGATTTCATCAGGGCTGTGCAACATGGACCCTTTTTGCTTTATTGTTTTTCCTCTAATCAACTGAAAGGGAATGAAAATGAGAGAGTTGAGCAGTAAGGACCATATCTCCCTACCCTTGGCCTCTACTTTATGAAATTGAACAAATAGTATTGGAGTTGCAATTATGGTTACAACATGTTTTCACAGCTTAGACCCTCACTTGACCTTCAAAATAGATCTCTGAGGGGCACCTTGGTGGCTCTGTCGGTTGAGCATCTGACTTCAGCCTAGGTCATGATCTCACTGTCCCGAGTTCAAGCCCCAAGTCGGACTCTGTGCTATCAGCACAGAGCCTGGAGCCTGTTTCTGATTCTGTGTCTTCCTCTCCGTATCTGCCACTCTCCCATTCATGCTCTCTCTCTCTCTCTCTTTCTCTCTCTCTCACACACACACACACAAATAAATAAACATTTAAAAAATAGATCTCTGAATCTGAGAGCAGAACTGCCAGGAAATGGTTTTTAAATAATAATAATAAATAATAAATAAAAGAACAGACCTGCTAAATATCTTTAAACAGGGTTTGCTTCATTCTCTTTCCAAGATCAGTGTTTGTACTTGGTTCTCCTTCTACCCCCCACATTGGTTGTGACCAGTTAGTGGTATTAATCTGTTCTTTTACAGATGAGGAAACTGAACTACATTTTCTTAGGCTACATGATTTCCCAACTTTGCACTGGGACTTTATCTAGGTCTTCCAATTACAAACAAAATTCCCCTGTGACTTTTAATGAACTAACTGAATTCATATCCCTTCACTCACTTTCATTAATTCTGATTGCCAGTTATCAGAATATCAGACCACGTTCCCGTGGCTTATTATTTCTGTATGTTTTCATAGCTTTTTGAATGGTTTGCTTAATTTTCGTTTTCTCATGTGTCCTTTTGTCCTAATCTTTATTTGCACTGTTCCTTTTTTTTTCTATTCCTAATTAATCATCCTTCTGAAAGTTTGCTAAAGAGTGGGTAAGTGCATTTTCCTTTCCAAATAGCTGTGCTTTGCATTGTTATTTTTTATTAAGGAATATGGAATAATTTGAATGGATACTAAAATGATCTAATAAATGTCAAGGAACTGGCATACAGTATTTTCTGTTGAAATCACTTTTCCTTTTTTCCTGGCATTTACAGCAGATTTTTGTTTGTGTGGGGGTTTGTTTTCACATTACTATTTAAATTTAATCGACAGCGGCCGTTAGAGAAATTGAAAAACTTAACAGGAGTCTTAGCAGAGGCTCTAAACCTGGATCTCTGTATCCATGAATGGAGAAAATGAGTGGCTGTCGCAAGGGCTCAGAAAAAAAGAACCAAACAAACAAAAAACAAAAAACAAAAAAAACGTTGCCTCCACACTGAGTCAATATCTAGAGAACCAGTGGGCTCTGAGGCGTTAACCCCAAGTATCAGAGGGTTTTAGAAAAGTTTTTGCGAAATCCATCACAGTGTCTTGGTCAAATTCTGAGTCACATCCCCCGGCAGTTTTCCAAAGATAACTTTTCATCCCCTGTATTAAATTGTTGTGCTATCTTATTTTGTAAGTTCCAGATCAATACACCGCTAGGCCATGAAGCCATTCCATGCGTGCTGTTTGTAATCGTGTGTATGTATCTACACATATCAAAGCCATCCAAAGCCTTGGGTGAGCAGCCATGTGGCTGGTAATTTTTTTTAAGAGCTTCAGATCTCTCTTCATCAAAGACCTGGAGTCACAATCTTACGGCTGCGTCTGGGACTATGGAAATGAACTGGGTCTACGGGCCAGGCTTGCTTTATAAATTGTGTTGTCTAAAAATTACTGACGGATGCAATGCCCTCACCTCCCAAACATGCTAATATTTGTCTTTCTGTGTTCCTCAGCATCAATACCATTCAAAAATAGATGAACTAATTGAAGAAGCTGTTAAAGAAATGATAACACTCTTGGTTGCAAAGGTAACCTTCAGCTTCAGGTGAAATGTTTCATTGCGAACATTGCTTTGTTAGATCTGCATTCCCATTAAAATGTAACACGTTAAAAAGTTCAGCTGGATACTTGTATTTCTCAGGAAACAAGATCGTACATCACCCAGGCTCAAGTCAGAATGATTTTTTCTGATGATTGCAAGCCGCGTGAAGATGAATTGATGAAGTGGCGTGTGTTAACTTAATAAGAAATTGTCCCCCGACTAGGTTATAGGATAAGTGTTTGTTTTGTTTTTCAGCGCTGACAAAGTTAGATTTTAAATACAGAAAGTTAAACGGTAATAAGGAATTCTGCCATCCTGAAAACCCCCTTTTCCCTCGTTTCTCATGCAGTGAGAGTCATAATAAAACATAAAAGTCAGATAAAGCTATTTCAGTCACCCTCATGAATTATAGAATTTTAACTAAGTAATGCTGAATGGGAAGACATTTATATTTGCCAGTGCTAAACTTCTGTTTCCCCCAAATTACTGATAAAATACAAATAAAAATAGATTGGATTAAATGTAGTGCTAATATGTAACGTAAAAACTGCTTTGCGCAGTTTTGGATTTTGAAAAGTGCATTTAATATTATCGCATGCTGTATGCAACTCAATAATATTTTGTCACTTTGTACTTCTGTAACACTCTGTATTTGCAATCACATAATAATGAAGAGAAAGCCGGATAAGTCAAATATTTCTCTGTGAAAGCAATCTATTCCTCTCCCCAAAAGCGGGAATCAAATAATATTTTAGAACGCAAAAGCAAGCGAGGTCACTGCTAGTCTCTGGCTGGTTGGGAATGTTGCTCCTTAGTGTGAACAGTTAGAGTTTGAAATAATATATATATATATCTATTTTTTTTGCTGTTTTACTAGTTCGTTACTATCTTGGAAGGAGTACTGGCAAAATTATCCAGATATGACGAAGGGACTTTGTTTTCTTCTTTTTTGTCATTTACCGTAAGTAAAGAGCTTCTTCCTTGCCTGGTTTTTGTTTTAGTGTGGGTTTGGGTTTTGGTTTAGGGGAGGGGTGCCAATGTGTCATTTTGGTGTTGGTTTGTGTGTGCATGTGAATTAAGGTCAGCCACCAATATAACATGACAATAAGCAGGACCTTTCATAACCGCAGGTGATCCAAAATCATTTCTTTCACTTGAGAATGCACAATATGTATGTTATGTATATGCATGTACACACACATACACATACGTCTCCATATGTATACACCCAAAAGAGAGTTGCTGGCCCGAGCCCGTGTTAGTTAGCTCAGGAAAATCACTTAATGTTTCTGGGTCACCACTTGCCCGTCTGTAAAATTTAAACGTTGCAAATAGAGACCTACAGGTCAGACAGAGCTTTCGAATACGTTTTATTTGGTCCTCACTGGGTCAGGTACACTTTTCCTAACTGAATTAGTTGCCTATATTTACAACGCGGGAGGATTCACGGAGATGTCCATATTCCAGGCTTTCTTTATAAAAGGGACACTTAAGAGCTCTGAGCATCTCAGACCGGTGGTCTGCTGGTCACCGTGGGCCCCATTGACCAGACAGTCGTTTGCCAGTTTCCTGTAGCACCTGGCTGTTTCGGTCATTCGTGTACCTGCCTGGGCTTGGGAACACTGGAGTCTACAACCTCTGAAGCACATGACTGGGTCCGTACAGATTGTGAGGGGCTCTAATTCTGCGCCAGGATCGGGCATGGGCATAGAAGTGAGTTTGGCTGTGGGCGGAAGCCAGCCTCATTCTCTGCAGGTCAATGACCAATGGAGATGGTCACCGTAAAGGGGCTGCTTTGGGGGCCTTGTTCTCCCACCTTCTGTGCTCGGTGGCGATGACAACTGTATCTTTTCTTGACGTTTCTGATAGCTGGGTTTTTGCTCGCTCTGAGGCCAGCTGTTTTCCTCTGACATAAGAAAGGCAATCAATTTAAGACCTACTATCCCTGCGTCTTTAAAACAGCATTAATGTATGAAGAATCTCCTAGAAAGGCATTGAATGCCAAGACGAGGCCCAGCACAGGGTAGGAGGTAGCATATCATCATCATCTTTGGGATCTGGCAGAACCGGCTTCATATCCTGTTGCCAGGATTAACCAGCTATGTGATCTTGAGTAGCTGTCTCATCCTCTCCGAGTCTCAGTTGTGCTTTGGGTTTGCTTTTGGCCTTGGGGAGGGGCGCTATTATATAATTTTGGTTTTGGTGTTGGCATATGTGTGTTAATTATGGCCAACTACCATGATGTATGGGAGTGAGGAGTGGATAACATCTGCTGGGATGAGCTGTTGGGGAGATAATAATGTAAGTGAAGAGTCTAGCAGAGTCCTAGCACGAAGTAAGTTCTCAACAAATGGAGGCTACTTTTAATAAAAGATGATAAAACATGATTATTATACAGTGCAAACAACCATGCACACAAGTTCTTCCTAAATATGCCTTACATTGGTATTTCCCGCGCATTAGATTTTCTGGGAATTAAGGGACAGGTAGACAGAAGACATTTAAAACAATTCTAGATAGTATCCATGTATCCACATATCCAGGATATTTTCCTTAGCAGCTCTCAACTTCCCCACGTGTAAGGAATGAACTCAACCCCAGAAGTGTGGTGGCCCCAGTTCCCAGAATCTAGTGGTAACGGTGGGGCGGGCCAGAGGATGGTGACAACAGGAAATCTACCCAATATCACTCCGTAGAACCACCCACAATGTGTCACAGCTGAAAGGAAACCAATCCGGCCACTCCTTTGACAAACAAACAAACAACAGCAACAATAAAAACAAGGCCCAGAGAGGGCAAGTGATTTGTCTAAGGTCACACAGCAATGGGCAGAGTGGAGACAGGGATCCAGGTCTTCTGCCAGCTCCCCCCGCGCCCCCCCCCATCCCCCACCATTGAAGAACTTCCTGGAGAGAGTGGGATTCAGCTGGCAGTTGCCTTAGCACTGGAAGGCAGATGGGCAGATGAGTGGGAAATATTCGATAATCTTTCATCCCTCAGTGAAGTCATGGAAATGGTGGAAAGAGGCAGAATTCTTCTGGAAAACATTCCCCTGACACCCACAAAAGCTTCCACTTTCTTTGAGTCTTCATTTCGAGCAAGTGTTTTTACCGCCCTGGACTCGAACCAGTGCAAACCGGGAAAGCCCCTCTGCTCTTCACGGAGCAGAACTCAGCCCATCCGTTAGGCCCCACCCTAATGACTGACTTACCCAGAGAACTAGCGGAAGGTGGTCCATGGCAGCCGTGCGGGACGGGGTACCAGGGGGAGTCTCACGAGAGGGTGAGACACAAAGAAGGCCTAGCATATCCTCTGAGGAGTTTTCAAGCTGAAATTCTCATGCTCTCCTCTCCATTTTCGGAGACATTTTGCAGCCTCGCAGCATGCCTAGTGAAGTCCCCGTAACTGCAGAACACTTGGGTGCCTGTTGCTGGGCCTGTGACTTCCCTTCCTTAGTGACACTTCTCCCACACACTTGGCCGTCCCACGGCCAAAAGCACCCACTTATCATTTGCAGCCTCTGTTCTCATCTCCTGCTGGTATTCCAGCGTTGGAGAACACGAGCTGTGCTCAGAAGTGGCAGGACTATCCATCTGCACACGTGGATGCTGAGCTCCTGCCCAAATTTCAAGGGGCCTTTGAAGACTTCCTGCGGCCCAGTTGTGTGACTCACGCCAGAGTGGAGTGGAGGGGAAGGGAAAGAGCTGAGCAGGGGCGGCAGGCGTCGTGGGAAGAGCCTGGGAACCAACGATGAGAGAGCCAGCTGTGAGTCCCGGGACCCTGGACAAAGGCGTCGAGAAGGTGCCGACGCCCTGGCAAGGCTTCCCTTAGCACTGCTCCCATCTCGGATTCAATCTTTCAAGTATTACTGTGCACTTACCACGTCCCCACCTCAGCGGGGCTGCCAAGGCTGAGCCATGTGCTGTGCCCCCCGGAAAGCTGACAAGTATCGACAAATATGCCACCCTTTCCCCCTCTTTCTCCCGCTGAGCGCCTCCTTTCCTGGGTGGGCTTGGTTTCATGGTCCAAGCCAGACATTTTGGAAAACGTCTGCAGTGGCACGGAGCAGGCAGGAATATTTATTTCTCGTCTCCATCTGCATTGCTTCCTCTCTTGGAGAGGAGCTGGGGGGTGGGGGGGGGGAGGAGGGAGGAGGAGATGTGGCTTCTTCGTGCCAGCCCAAGAGGCGTCCAGGCGCGCCCCTCCTCTCCTCCCTCCGCAGCCTCAGCAGCAGGAGCAGCCTGGGATTTCTGGAGGCAGGCGCCTTTCGAACTTTCGAAAGATCAGCCCAGTTGGAAGTCGCAATTAGCAACTATCCGCCCATTTCCCCTGACTGCAAGATGTGCTTTTGTGTGGGTTGCCTGCTTGGAAGGGTCCTTGTCTGGTGGGTAGCCTCACGCTGTTCTTTTAGGAGGCCAGGGAGGGCGACAAGCAGGTGCCTAGGTCCCTCTCCGAACAAATTAAAATCCTTTCCTTGGGCCTATCCAGGTGTTAACAAATATGCTAGTTCTGGAATCCACTGGCTCCTTCATTCTCTCATTCACTCGTTCACCCAGCACGTATTTACCAAGTGCTATTGTGGTGCTAGGTGCCAGAACACAGCAGTGAGCAAGGGACACATGTTCTCTGTCCTTTTGGAGTTTACATTTAGGAAGAGAGACAGACAATAAAAAAGGGAAAAAAAAAAGTATAGGGTAGGGGTTGTGCTATACAGGCCACAAAGTGGAAAGAAAGGGAGAGAAAGAGAGAGGAGGTGGGGGGTAGTGTTGCTTCAGCTAGGATGGTCACGGAAGGTCTCTGAGGAGGAGACGTGGACTGAAACCAAGAGGGGCCAGCCACAGCTGAAGAGAGGGGAGAATCTTCTAGACAGAGCAGCAATTGCAATGACCAGGAGGCAGGAAAGCAGGAGGCATTTTTGCAGCATAGTTTGGAAGTAGCATGGACAGGACTTAGAGATTGAGCACCTGCTGGGGGCGGAGACTCAATGGAAGGAGCAAAGTGGAAGGTCCCTCGCGGTGAGGTCCTGAAGAGTTCCTCTGTGCCGAGTGGTCCTGAGAGGCCAGTGGCACCCAGCAAAAAGCCCGGAGAGGGGAGACCCAGGCTGGGGCCCCGGAACTGTGTGACCTGGAACATGGGACCCCACCTTGGCTTTCAGTTCCCCTCGGCATAATATGATGATGGTTTTATTAGATGAATTCCAAAGTCTAAAATAGCTACAGGAGCAACGCTATTCTTTAAGCACTTGCTAAGTGCCTGGCACAGGGCTAAGTGCTTTAAATATATTTTTCTCATTGAATCCTCTGAACGCTGCCGTTCCAACAACGCTCTTCTGCCTGCAGACAATGAAACGGAGGCTTGGAGAGGTTAAGTCCTCTAGTTCGACCAGCATGCTCTCTCCCACTAACCTCCGGAGACTTTAAGGAAGGGTGATGATGTAGGAGGAGCCCACACCCTCTCCCCTGGCAGACAGAATAATTACCTCAAATCCTCTGAAGGCCCCGAGAATTCACTCCAGGTTCCCCCAACCAGCCAGCCATTTGAGATGGTCACAATGGAACCCTGGAAGCCACTCTGGTCAGGCAGGGTAAAGCCCTATTAAAAGCTGTCAGGGGCCCAAACACTACGGTATGCACAATCCCCTAGGTCTCAAATTACCCTCATCCACCTTTTTTCCCTCTTCATTTGCCAGCCTTTTAATTGGTTTGTCACTTAGAAATGAAACAAAGTAGACATGCTTCTTCCTGCTAGAATCTGAGACCAGGACTGGTGTTAGTGCGGATCACCCAGCAGCGTAGACGGCTTTTGTGCAGAGCTCTTGAGGTCATGCCAAAGAACAAGACTGCCACTTTGGTCAAAAGCCAGAACTGGATCAAAAGAATTCACTTCTGTGCACAGACTATTTTGGTCAGGAAGCAGTTCAAATTTTAGCATGGGGCGAGTGTTCGTAATTGTTACTGTTAT